CAGGTTGAAGGGAGGGAGGGTGGGGTGGGTGAGGTATGGAGGGGGTTTGGGGAGGGAATAAAAATAAGGCCAGAGGAGGGTATTGAGGGAGAAAGTAAAAAGTGAGAAGATAGAGGGTGAAGGAGGGAGATTGATGTGGGGGTGGTGGGTGAGGGGGAGGGGGAGAGGTTGAGTTTGAGGGGGGAGGGTGAGGGAGATAAGTGATAACTCGGGTAGAGGGTGAAAGGGAGGGATTGATGTGGGGTGGGGGGGGTGAGGTGGGGGGAGGTTTGGGTGAGGGTGGGAGGGTGAGGGAGATAAGTGATAACGTGGGGTAGAGGGCGAGGGAGGGAGGGAGAGTTGATGGGAAGGAGGTTGTTTTCGAAGGAAGGTACGTGTACGTTGTATTATATCTATTATATCTATTTATACACACAACACACACACCACAACACACACACACACACACACACAACACACACACACACACACACACACACACACACACCACACACACACACACACACACACACAACACATATACACTATATGACATCATATATAATTATTATATTGTTATGTGTATTATATATATATATATATTATATATATTATATATAATATATATATATTATATTATTTTATTACAAGTGTCCTCTTCCTTTTTCTTTTCTTTTAACGTGCCTTTCTTCTTTCTGATAAGTGTAGTCTTGTTTTGCTGTTTTTCATGTGTAATCTTTTTCCATTTTTTGTTTTCATTAATGCGAATTAGTGACATTGCGTAATGTGATGTATGTGTTATAATGAAATGTATTATGATATGTCTAAAGTGATTATAATTCGAAATATGATATGGGGTTGTCTGTGTATTATATGTTGACCATGGGTGAGTGCGTGTATAAGGTATATAGAATATTGTTTGTGTTTGTTTGCGTGTGAAGACAAGTGAGTGTGAATGCATTATGTATAGTATATGCATTTACTGTTTGATAAACGTGAATGTGAATGGATATGGATATATTTTGATGTATATATTTTTTATGCCTTTGTTATGCAGATATTACACACACAACACACACCACACACACACAACACACACACCACACACACACACACACACACACACACACACACACACACACACACACACACACACATACACACATGCATGCACACATTGCTCTGTATGTATCGCATTGTCTGCTTTTATTTTTTCTTGTGAGTCAACTGATCCACCAATGATCATGGAAGGAAGTGTTACATTATCCTATGCACTGTTGATATGCAGTACACACACACACACACACACATTCGCGACGAGAAAGATACGTACACGAGGGACAGATGGCACTGAACTTACAGATGGTGCATAAAACCCTGCGGTATCCGACGTATATCCAATATATCACAATAAAATTAATATATCGTTATACACACGTTTTATGGATGCAGGTGTTAAAACTTTTTTTTCTTTCTTTTTTTATAGATTTTGAGTGCTTGTGCCTGCATGGCTGATCACGGGGATGTTCCTGCATTAATTTTTATAGTCTATATATCAAGTGTGATATATAAGTTGTCTTGTTATTATACTTGGACCGATTTTTTTTTATTATTCGTCCATTGGCCTGGCTTAAAAATGCGGTTTTCAAGTTTATAAGTCTGTACTTTCTGTATGTCTATCGTAATGTATTGTATTTGAATATATGATATACCATTACATTAATATTCATGAATATTAATACATGTGTACCTTTTATTTGAATTAATTTCAAAGTGCAGCGTCTAGATACGTATAATTAATAATATCATAAGCTGTAATATATAAATCATAGTCTACGTTAATTTCGACCTCACATTCCATTTTCTTTACAAAGTTAAAGATTGTCTTTAGCTTTTCACAGTAAATTACAAAAGAAACTCTTCATATTTCTTTTATCATTGATATCCATTAGTGCTCATGAGATAATAATCAAGAGGGTGTAATTCTTAATTTCTTCAACGTTACTGTAAACAATACTGAGAATCATTATAATTCATTACGTCAGCACTCGCCTACACAGCCATTAGCAGTTCCGAGAAACAGAATCATTTCATACCTGCTCTTATACACAGAAGCATCTACACATACTTACACACACACGCACACAGAGGCATGCAATACACGTATACGAATGCACGTAAGCGCACGCAAGCAAGCACGCACACGCATGTACACGCGCGCACACACTCACACATGCACGCACACACACACGCACACACGCACACACGCACACACGCACACAACCACACCACACACACACACACGCTCACACATGCACGCACACACACACACACACACACACACACACACACACACACACACACACACACACACACACACCACACGCACACACACACACCACGCACACACACACACACACACACGCCCACATACACACAACACACACACACACCACACACACACCACACACACACACCACACACACGCACGCACACACGCACACACACCCACGCACACACACACACACACACACACACACACACACACACCACACACACACACAACACACACACACGCCACACACACACACACACACACACACACCACACACACCACAACACACACACACACACACACACACACACGCACACACACACACACACACCACGCACGCACACACACACACACACACACACGCACACGCACACACACGCACACACACACACACGACACGACACACACACGCACACACACGCCATCGCCCATACGCATGGACACATCCACAACACAAAACAACGGCCGCACAATCCATCATTTTAGTACCTCGTTCCCGCTGAGTACGACACCTATAAAAATCAAAAAGATGGATTTACACTCATACACCGGCGACCTCGAGCTTCCCGCAGCCCCTCACCCCCCCCCCCCACACCCACCTCCCCACCCTACACACCCCACACTCCCTCTCCCCCTACACCCCACTCCCCCCTACTCACAGATGGTTTCCACTACGACAATTATCGTATCGACTCGAACTACCATTATCGTACCTTACAACTTCTTATTATCGTACCCGCTCGTTATCATCGTGCTAACAGGTCATTGGATGGTTAAGTTGTTCAGGAAATCCTTAGGGTAAGGTAAGGTAAGGTAATATTTGGGTAATATCTCTCTCTTTATATTTTTGGAGGTGGAAATACCTTAGGGAACGGAATTCTGGGTAATGGTTATCGAAACAGGGCGGATGACATCTGGTTCTGTGGACGAAGGATGTGGGTGACGGTTGGGAGATGCGGAAGGCGAGAGGAAGAGAGGGGAAGAGAGAGAAGAGAG